GCTCTTCCAGCACAAGTGGGATCTTGCTGCTGACCTCACAGCCCCTGTGTCTTTCCGAGCTCAGGATTTCGGGGTTTCTGGGTTCCCTCCAGCCCGGCTCTGCTCATGGGCTCTGCTCGTGGGGTCCCCGCGACGGGGACCGCCGGGCGCGAGCCACCCCAGGAACTGGGGACGTGCACAGCCCCGTGCACACTCTCCGTGCCCACACACACCCCCGTGGTGACACGCACGCCCGCGGTGCCGCACACACCCACAGCACAGTGGCCATCGCAGCACCGCGCACACCCAGAGTGCACACGCACAGCCATGGCACCGTGCATGCCCGCAGCATCCCTTGCATGTCTGCAGCATCCCTTATATGCCTGCAGCATCCCTTGCACGTCTGCAGCAGCCCTTGCATGCCCACAGCATCCCTTGCATGCCCGCAGCATCCCTTACATGCCTGCAGCATCTCTTGCACACTTGGAGCATCCCTTGCATGCCTGTAGCATCCCTTGCACGTCTGCAGCATCCCTTATATGCCCGCAGCATCCCTTGCACACCTGGAGCATCCCTTGCACGCCCGCATATTCCCTTGCATGCCCACAGCACCCCTTGCACGTCTGCAGCATCCCTCGCATGCCCGCGGCACCCCTTGCACCCTCCTGCTCTGCACTGGGGCCAGCGGGACTGTGCAACCCAGCCGTGAGTGATGCTCGGAGCCCTGATCGCCGCAGCCCCGTCCCTCCCTGCTCCCCACTTTCCCTCTCCCACGAAGGATAAATAAGCTCATCCCCATCCCAGTTGTTTTGGGGTTTTTTTTCCAGTGTTTTCCTTTATTAATTTATACAAAAAATGGTTGCAAGTGACGCAAGCCAAGAACAACCCGCCACCGTCCCAGCCCCGAGCTCGGCCGCCAGCTGGGGGCCGGCATCCCTGGCGAGGGGCAAGTTGGGGGAGCACCGTGTTAGGCAGCACATCCCGGCGTAGCACCCCAAAACCTGGGCAGGCGCAGGGCACCGCGGTCCCCGGACCTGGGGGAAGTGCAGGGAATACACCCAGGCCACGTACGGCGACGTTGGTGCCGGCCCGCCGAGGCCCGGGATGTCCCCCCCAAAAGAGTGCTCGAAGCACGAGGCAGAACTGCGACAAAGGCGGTCCCGTCGGGTGGCAGGGCACGGGGTCAGGGGGACAAGCCCGCACATCCAAGGGCTTTTGGGGGAAAGGAGCCGAGTCCCTCTCGCTGCCATGCTCCGGGGCTGGGGGACCTGCAACTGGAGGGGTTTTGGGGACCAGAGGTGGGACAACCCTGGGGGGGTAAAGGCTCTGGAGCAAAGGAGGGAGAAAGGTGGGTCCAGAGCCGGGGCCAGGAACCCCCTTACCACCTCCTTCCCGCCACGGCACGGGCCAGAGCTGGGGATGGGAAGGGAGTTATCCTGACGGGAAGGAGAGGTGAGAGGGGGCAGGGATGGAGCCGGGGAGGGGGATCCCTCCGCCCCGGCCGGGGGACGCGGGGAGGAGATGAGCCCCGGCGGGAGCAACGCTGCATTTTCCCAGGCGCATCCCACCGGGACCAGCAGCCTCTCGCGCTTCTCGGTGCAGAGCCTGAGGCCTCGGGCGCCTTCCCGTCCCCCGCCACCTTCTACTTCCTCCGGCAGCCCTTGGCTGCATCCCCCATCATGTCCCAGTACTCTCCGAACTCCAGCTTGGCCTCGTCAGGGTTTCCCATGCATTCGATCTTCTCTTCCAGTGGTCCAACGCACTGCAGAGGGGGCAGAAAAACATCAGGGTGATGGGACCGGGGCGTCCCGCAGGCAGCCCGTGCCCACCCCAGCTCCCCCTGCCCAGCCCCTGGGGCTCTGCCCTCACCTTCCCCAGGTGGGGCAGCTTCTGCACCACCAGCTCCTGCATCTCGTTGGGCGTCAGGTACTCCTTCTGCCCCTTCACCGCGTAGCAGTGGAACTGGTTGATGACGGTCTCAATGGCCCGCTCCACGTCGGTGAGCTCCTGGCAGTCCTGCGGGGTGGGGGGACAGAGGGTGAGCACCGGTGGGACACGCGCCTGGATGGATAAGGACACCCCCCCAGATGGACAGGACAAGTCCCCGAGTAGGTGAGACATCCCCCGGAGCAGATGTGCCCTCTGCAGATGTTCAATGATGGGATAAACCTCCGTATCAACATGATACCCCTCTGTACAGATGTGAGACCCCTCCCACAGATGTGAGACCTCACTGTGCAGATGTGAGACCCCCCTACAGATGTGAGACCTCACTATACAGATGCAAGACTCCCTCTACCGCTCCATACAGACGCGAGACCACTCCATACAGGCATGAGACCCCACCATACAGATGCGAGAACCCACCTCCCAGATGTTGCATCCCTCCATACAGGCTCTGCTCAGCTGCAGTATCCCCTTACAGCCGCCATATCCCCCCTGCCCAGCTGCAGTATCCCCTTACAGCCGCCATATCCCCCCTACAGCCGCCGTACCCCACTACAGCCGCCGTACCCCTCCATCTGGATGTGACACCCCTCCCCACGGGCATGTCACCCCCCTCCCTGTCTCTGCCTGCCCGGACTTCTCCCTGCCCGGGGCCAGCGAGGCTCAGCCACCCCGGCGTCTCCAGGCGCTACACCCACGGCACACGGGGGCCGCCGCGGCCGTCCGGACTGGTTCTTCCTCTCCTTTGCACAAGCGGCGGATGGCAGAATGAGTCAGTGCCCAGGACAACTCCAGGCGCCCGTCGGGATGGGGTTTGGCAGCGGCAGGAGCCCCTCTCCCTCCCCATCAGGGGCTGAAGACCCCTTCCCCGGTGGGGTGGAGTGGTGGGGGGGCAGCAACCAGCCAGACCCATGCGCCCGGCTTGCCGGCCACTCGTGCTAATTAGCCAAAGCCGCGTTTGAAGGGAAACGGCGGTGATTCAACTCAGCATCTGCGGTTTTCCCCACGAAACACTACGAAACCACATCAGGCGATGCCCATTAGGAAGAACCCAACAATCTTCGGAGCCTCAGCCCGGCGCCCCGGCTCAGCCGGCCGGGGCCAAATCCTCCGCGGGTGCAAAGGTGGGCACCTCCCGTTTGAAAGCCGAGGAAAACAGGCGACTTTCTCCCCGGTGGGCATCCTTGGAGAGGTGTCGCAAGGAGTGGCCGCAGCTCCCGAAGGTGGGTCCGCGGGAGCTGGAGAAAGCTGCCCGGTTCCCCGAGCTTTCAAGCGGTTTTCAAGTCCACGGCAACAAGTTCTCCCTACCCAGCGCCAGGGCAGCGTCACCGAACCCCGAAACAGCTCCCCATGCCGGCTCCACCGCTGGAGTCTGGCTCCAGGATGGGGCTGGAACGGCCGTGCTGCCCCGAATCACCCCAGGGCCATGCTGCAGGGCCACACGGGGTCACCCCTGCGCCCCGCATCCCACCACGGGGATGGGGGGAGGGTATCCCATCCCTCCCGGTGCCGCAGCATCGTTCATCGACCTTGCGCTTCTTGCGGCAGTTGCACTGGCCCATGCTGCTCCTCGCGGGGTCTGTAGGTCCTCAGTGGCAGCAGCGGTGGGGTTGTCCTCTCCGACGAGGTCTCAGGGAGCTGGTGGTGGGGGGGAGGAAGAAAGCCAAGCTCTGCTCTCTGCTCTGAGGTTAAAGGATGTAGTTTGCTAGGGTTACAGATGGACTCAGAAGCCTATTTTAACATAGCCTTGCTGTATTAGATAAACTCCTTTCAGTGGGCTGGTGGGCCCAACTATGTACGTCGGTGCTGCTGGAAGTCTCAGAGATGAGCTCTGGTATTTTGCTATCCCTTTCTGCCTGCTTCTAAGACTACAGTGAGGAACGTAACAAGTTGGTCTTTTCTCCCGTTTCCTGAGACATTACTTAATGGACAATAGTTAAATAGTTAAATTCCTTTATTTGTATTTTTAGTCTCAGGCTTCTCCCTTAGCCAGAAGAGCTCAGAACAACCCTGCAAGTTACTTTTGTTCCTATCTTCCATTTGCAGCATGTGGTCCAGTGCGTGTTTGTCGCCATCCGAACCATTGGAAACATTGTGATTGTCACCACTTTGCTGCAGTTCATGTTTGCCTGCATTGGAGTTCAGTTGTTTAAGGTAAAACCATTTGGCCCATTCATTCATCTGTTATACATACCTGTATTACAGGGTGGGAAGAAAAATAGCATGAAGAAGCTTGAGGAAGGGGAGGTGGACGGCGGGGTCGGGGTGCAGAGCCAGCGACGTGCTGTGCCAGCAGAGGTGTCCCCCCCTGCTCTGTGCCACCCAAGACCCCAGAGAAGACGGGCATCGATGCCCAGGGGAGGTGGCAGCCACCGCGGCATCGCTGCCAGAGATGCTCTCATACCCTACCCCGGTCCCAACCACATCTCTGCCACCCATCGGGATAGTGCTAAGCAACCCCACAGCCCGGCAGGAAGGCGTTTGTGGGGCGCAGGGTGGCACCCCGCAAGCCAGATTGGCACAAAAGGCCATTTGGGACCGACACCCATCCATGGCGGGTTCCCCTGCAGCAGCCGCCCCGCCGCAGAGCTCAGGGAAACCTCTTTTATTATCTCTGCGTCGGAGTCGAGTCTCCCCACCAGCCCCGTCACTGGGGGGTTTTCTTCTTCCCCGCTTTCTCCCTCCGCATGGCCTTCGCCAGCTCCCCGATGAGCCGCCAGTACTCCCCGAATTTCAGCTCCTCATCATTGTTGACGTCCAGCTCGCTCATCTTCTCCTCCAGGGAGGGGACGTCCTGCACGGAGGGGTGGTTCGGCCGCATCCCAGTCCCCAGGGAGTGGGATGGGGATGGGGATGGGA